GGATGCTTGCTTTGTGGTTTCAGGGTGAGCCATGTGAAGATGAGTTTTGGAGACAGTTCCTTGCTAAAACATGTTTAAAAGTTTGCGACAAAAGGAGTTAGAGGGGGATGTGCAAGATGGGAGACGAAACAAATAGGAAACCATGAGGAGAGCAGGGGAAGGGAGGCTCGGGACTGAGTAACCAGTCAGGTTTTATGCTGGATACAAATCAACTGGGATCCTATCTCTTGGATCTAAACTGAGGCACTGAGTGGAAAACAAACCCCAATGTCTCCCGCTGGCTGTATGCATCTGGGATGCCTCCACCAAGAGAATTATTTTAGCTCCCTCTGTGGCACCTGAGAGGACAGAAGAAGGTACGACCTGCAAGATTTCGATCACATCCCTGCAGTGTCTCTGTCTGTCTCTCATTAGAGAGTTAATTGACAGTTAGCAGCAATCTGGGCCACAATCTTGTTTGCTTCTTAAATGCTCATTAATAGCAATGAAGTAATTTAAATTTAATTAGGGTAAGATAAGGTGTGGTGTTTAGCCTAGTTTTTAATGGCTTGTTTAAGGTATTTGCTCATGACGGATCGAAGCCACCCCAAAGTCAGACTGATGTGAGCTGTTTGCTGCAACACTCATGACCACAGATCACTTTTAGCTGCACGTGCGTGTGGGGATGGACTTGCAATTGTCTAACGATGGCAAATGAGCGATCAGGATTAAAACCAGCTCCACCTGAATTTGCCATTCCTAAAGGCTGGTTGTTCTGCAGCACAAATTTAATTTTGCTTATCTGATCCTGATTTTCAGCTGCCCTGAGTTCTGGCGGAACAGCTGTGTTTAGTCCACCGCTAGCTGTTTTAGGGAGGAATTACCATGTTAAAAGCAACATTTGTTTGTAGTGCTGGCGAGGCTTCCGTTCCTCCTGTCTCCATGCAGTAAATTTATGTTCTGTACCACGAAACAACACATGGGTTTTGAGTGGAACTTTTTTCAGTTGTAAGGCCTAAACGTGCAAACAAAAGAATGAGAAAAAGGGATCCCGCTGAATGCCAGAGCAGCTTTTGAGTACGCTTTGTGTTGGGTAGAAGAGAAACTTGGATATATATAGCTGATGGTGTGAAATGTTAAATATTTGTGTGCTCTTTTAATGATTGGAAAAATTTTTGAATAAAATGCTCAGATTGTAACTTGTAAGATCAGTCTCCATCTTGAAAGTTGATTATGAGTAAATTTGATTATATAAAGGTCTTCTATAGTATTCAGGCTGTATTTAAGATAATGAAGTTTGGTTCCTTAATCTGATTTTGGCTTCCATCTGGAAGAAACTAAATATCCAAACCATGCATCATTTCATTCCTTAAAAATGTCTCATACCTGCTTTACTGTCCCGGCGTGTGTCTTGGATGTGAAGATACAGCTGGGCCAGGGGCTGGTGGAGCACCGGCTGCAGGGGTCTCCCACCCACTCCGGCTGCAGTGGAGAAGGAGAAGGATTCCCTGATATGCTGATCCTGGATCTCTGCCTTCCTCCACTGACTGTTGCTCAAGGGAATGATTTTTTTTTAACTCTACCCATGCAGAATCCTGATATCCAAGCTATGTACATTTGTCCTTCCTGGCCTGCCATCTTTATGTATCTTCATACAGACTGTGGTCCTGTGTAAGGTCTTGCTGTGATTGCTGTTGTCTGTCTCCGCTGGTGAAATAATGTTGGGAGTACACATTCCCGGATGGTAGTGCATTGTGCAAGCATGTAATGCATTTCTGCTCCAATGAGCGTGCTTGCACTAGTGGAATAAAATGGGTTTGAGAGTGGTTGTCACCTGGTGAGATGAAAAGCTAAGCTTTTGAGTGATACTAGCAAATTTTTTATTTGTTAGGGAAATATATCATTTAATGACATTGATATAAAACAACCTGTTTTATTAGATTTGGATTTTAAAAAATCTAGGCTTGGAATCCAGAGTTCAGTGAGTTTTTGACCATTTTAGTTCTACATTTTGTTCTAATCTAGTTGTAGTATGCTAATAGGCATAGTTTCTTTCCTTTCTGTTGTCCAGGCTACAGGATTTCACTGTCGGAAAGCTATTGGAGAAACTCAGCTTAGATTTTCTCGCTGCGCTAGCCCAAGTCATTCTGTCCTCCCTGGTATTTGCAGCAGTGCCAGTTGCATGGGTCACCACGGAAGGTTAATATTTGCTAATGGCAGTTCTGCGCTGGGTTTATGGCGCAGTTATAAGACAATACCTAGTGAACGCTGGCTGACTGCAACACACGGCATAACGCTAGCTCACGTTAGTATCCCTGTATGTTCTCTCCACTCATTCGTGCACATTTTCTTCCTCCTGGCTGCCACAAGGCAATTTTGGGTTATTATCACGGTGTTTGAGCAAAGAGTCTGATCTAGCATGTACCTATTTCTTTTACAACAGACATACTGCAAATATGAACATTAGTTCCACTGCCTCTCTATCTGAATGATTTTCTTTTCCTTTTCGCAGGTGCAGTATAAAAAAAAAGCCAAAAATGTTCTCCCGACTACGAGTAGCTGCCACTCCCTGTGCGATGGCATATCGCAGTGCACATACGAAAGAAAAAGGCAAGCCACTGATGTTAAACCCACGAACAAACAAGGTTGGTAGTGTATGATTATCAAATATCTTATCTTCATCCGGTAATTGTCCAGTGGACCTTGTCCCAGAGTACTTGTGCAGGAGGTGTTCTGGGCCACAGCCAAAAAAAGAGGGCAGAAGATGCAGGAGTCAGGGATTATTTCAACTTCACTGTCTGGACACCCGCAGCACAAGGACTTGAGTAACACCACCTGCTCTGTCAGCCTGCGCTTCCCCTGGTTTGCTGTGGCTTGCACACTCAATACTGCTGCTTCCGTGGGCCACATGAAGCGTTGCTGATTCTTGCTGACTGCTGGCATAGTTTTTGGGCTGGTTGAATTGAAATAAAGCTTTAGCATGTAGTCTTGTTTCATAGTTGCAGAAGTTAAATCTGAGTTCAGTCGTGTTAGTGGTAGAAAGTGCTAGCCTCTCTGTCCTAATCCTGGCTTTTTCCTGCAAGACTGTTGGGAATTGGGGCAGGGCCATATCAGTAAAAAACATCCCCGTGCAGAGAGTTTGGCAGAGAGCGTCTAGAATAAACCTTGAATGGAGCTAGCTGGGAAGTAGAGACTTTGTTAATTCCATGCGTTGGGTGAAACTTCTCCTAAAACGATGGAGTTTTTCTTCCACAAAACTTTTCCTGTTTCCACAGCCCTATCCTCAATCTCTTTTTTCCCCCAGTGTCGTAGTAGTCTTCAGGAATATTGAAACAATTAATGTGTAAACTCAAACTAGTAAGAAATGAGATGAGGGGTTTTGGTAGCTGATACAAGATATCTAAAGTGACCAAGAAAGGTGGCAAATCTAGCTGCCTCTGACAAGGTATTTCCTGAGCAGTGGAGCTATGGAAGCTGGATTTCCAGAGTCTTATACTATGTTTTTAATGTATGGCTTTTCTCCGCTTCCCCATTCTCTGATTTTATGTTTTTTCCCTCCTTTTTCATTCCTCAGCCTGCTCTTTTCTTTGTCCCTTGCTTTCTGTCAGAATTGCAAGTTGGCAGGTGGGCTCAAAATATCTGGGGAGGGTATGGAACTAGGAACTAGAAGCTGCATCTCCTTGTGTCCTGCCCATAACGATAGGGAGAATTGTTGCAGTATGTCCCTAGGCAAAAGTGATTCCTGAGTGTCCTGAAAAGAAAGAAGATGAAACGTAGGCCTCTAGTCATATTTCTTGTACACTACTGTGTGGTGTGAGAGATGCCTTGATACTGCATGAATGCAGGTGGCATATACAGAGAGAGAGAGGTAGAAGTTAGAGATCGGCTGACACAAAAATAAAATTGGGATTGCCATGTCAGGGAAGGAAAAAAGAATGTATTTGTGTGATTTGTCAAGATCAGATTATCTCGAGACTTTTCTGAGCTATAAACACTTTGACGTGCCAGTGGAAATTATTTCAAGCCCTGTAAGCTTTTCCAAGAGCTGTTTATGCAACAGTATTCAGAAACAAAAACAATAGGTCATTTCGTACTGTTTTTGTAGTGGTAATTTTTTTTTTTTTTTTTTTTAAGCCTGGAATTCTGTGGGGGACTGGGCACTAGTTATTTTTTTTGTTTGGTTTTGTTTGGTTTTTTTTTAGGAGGAAAGAGCAGAGAGCTGATTATTAATAGCAGGGATTTTTTTTGTCTTAATGTCTGCAAGAAATGATGCTTGTGAGAGGGAAAAACTTTCCACATTTGTTGGGCTCTCGTTAAGGCTTGACACCTGTTTAAATGGCTCTGTAAGCTAGTTCATTGACACTGCTTGGTGGTTGGGTGCAGTGTCTGTATAGAAATGTAATTTGGAAATCCAGCAGAGAAGTAAATGATCGACTAAATATGCAAAGTACTTTACCCTTTGTGCTTTTCTTGCCCACAGTGCCTCATGTGCATGTATCTATCATATACATATAGGCACAGATAAGGGGCTTTATCACTTGCTGGCAGCTTGTTGTGATCATTTTATGACTTGTGTTTTAGTTGCTTATGTTTAGTTTTTACAGTCCCTATCAGAAGAATGTGTGGTCTCCTCTAATATATGTGGGGCCCTAAAATAAGAACTGCAAGATGGCAGCATCACGAACAGAAAACCAACCCGTCCCCTTGCGCAAATTAATCTGCTCCTGTTCTTTGACATTGGAGTAGGTTTTCCTCTTACCCTTTGTTTTTTTCTTTTCTTTTCTTATCCTTACCTGTCTTTTGCGTACTACACCTACATCGACGGGTTTAGGTTTCTATGTCTGAAGGCCAGTTTTCAGGAGTTTATTGTCAGGGCAGCTCAGAAAAGGTCATGACTATTTCAGTAATGCCCTTGCCGCTGTAGCCAAACAATTGCAGAACATGCTGTAACTGCATTGCTGGCATCCATGTATACTTACGATCTTCCGTGATGTTTGATTTCTGCTCTGTGACAGGGATTCAAATTACAGTCAATTGGCTTCAGGACCTTTTATTCTGCTGGAGATCCCTGCTGTGCAAGAGCAGCATTTTAAGCTTGTTGGGCACTTAGAAGACTTAGGACAATCTCGTTTGTTTAGTACTGGCCATTAAACTGTTACTTGTATTGTGGTAGCGCTTCAGATTCTCACTCAAGGGCCATGATTACTTCTTCCAGCACAGAACAGATGATGCATGAGTAGATAATCCCTGACCTTGGCAATGTCCATTCTGCCATGTAGAGTGGCATTGTATCTCTTTCTTCACTGGAAGTAAGTGACCTGTAACATTAGTCATGTTTGCTTTCTGTATGCTTGCAGCAAATTTGTGACTGAATAATTTCTGACACTTTCTGTATTTTAGTTGGTGGCATCAATTATTTTTGTTACTCTCTAAGTGTATGACTGTATTTTGTACTGTTAATTCCACTACTGTTAATTCCACTATTACTCTGTACCTCAATATCCTTCGGTTATTTTATTCTTTAATATTGTTCTCCTGACAATGCCTCCCAAATTTTTAGCTTCAGCAGATGTCTTAGGGACACTGCATTAAAGGGCACATGCATGCACACATATTTGTGTGTATATGCTTGGTCACGTGTGTGGGAATACGTGCTAAATTTTGAGAATGAGTTGACTGATGATGTCACAAGTGGCAGTTTAATCCCAGACCAATTTCTGAGGAACTGACCCAGCGTCTGTCTTCCATATGGGTGGTCATCTTCTCATATCTTCTATTTAGCTAGACCGTTAATCACAGTTTCATCTGTATTCATTCCCAGCTTTTTCAGCCCAATTTATTTTCATCTGTGCCTTACTGAATATCTCCATAAAAACAGATTACCTTTGTTTTAAGAACCAGTTCTCTTAAAGATGTACATGGCCTCTCAGACTTCGGGCACATATTAGGGCAGTGTGTTTCCAATTCAGAATAAAAACCAACCAACCAACCAAAAAAACCTACCCCAGGTTAAAGCTAATTGGACAAAATAAGTAGGGTAGAACAAGAGAATGTAAGAAAGATTGTATGAAGTTCTAAAAGCAAATGCTCCCTTCACCTTCCACTGCCCTTTCCCAACATTCTGGTTTTTGACACATCTCATTTCTTTTAGTTTAATACTTTTTTAACTGTGTCAGTTGGGTTGAGCAGCCAGGGTGTAAGATACTCAATGCCTGACTGTTTTCCTGGGGAAATCAGGATAAACAGGATGTGGAGATGTACTGCAAATGGTAATTGTCATGTCACTAAGAAATGCAGTGCTTGAAGTACTGCCAGCACTTTCTGATCAGTCACAAAGAAAGATCCTAGAAGGCAGGAAACTGATAGAAACTGCTAGTTCCTACACATATACCCAGCCCAAAAGTCCTACCACGTTTTGTGTTCTGCCCGACTGGTTTGGAGATGGCGGGAGTATTGGATGGTGGTGGCATGGCCACAACTTTTATCAGCCTCACTGAGATCTGCATGCTTTTAAAGGGAATTAAATATGGAAAGATAGAGCTGTTTAATCTGTAACCAGCTTTTATCATCTGTCTGAAAAGGTGCTGTAAGTGCCGAAGGTGGTAGGCAGTACTGCACCCCATTTAGCTTACATCAGCTGTTCTGCTCAGGACTCCTGAGCTGCTGGGATGGTGGGTGAAGGAAGGAAGGAAGCCGTCTTGGCTTTGAATTTTCTCAGTTTCTTCTTTTTATTGTAGGATTAACGCCATTAAAGGAGAACAAAAGCAATGGCATCTGCTCAGTTAGAAAAATAGCAGTTTAGTGAAATGTCTCTGAGGTGTTCAGTGATGCGGTATGGTGTAGATGAACCATTTCAGTCACCATACTCATGGTTTGCAATGTACGGCTTTACCAGAACCACCAGTGCTTGGAAACAAACCTTAGAGAGGCTGGATGACATTCTTGCTGGTGTGTAAAGACCTTCTGTTTCTGAGTTCTTCCCATTTTCTGCAGGGGAGTGCTCTTAGTTGAAGCCACATCATTAGGAAATGAGAGCTACTGTGGGTTACCTTAGTCTGGTTCATCAGCCAAGGTGATTTACATCTGGTTCCACGCAAACAGAGCAGGTACAAGAACTGCTTGCACCTTTGCCTGAAGAGAGACCAAGGTCTTCAAAGGCTTAATAACCTGGGGGAGGTCTGGGTCATTTTACAGTTCAGCGGGGAGTATATCTCTGTGTTGTATCAGCCATACCCTACAGTATACATACTGTGCTGTTTCTGGAAGAATAAGATACGGAATTGGGTGTAAAAAATGAAGGAGGAAAGAAATCAAAGGAGATTTCCGTATTCTACGCTGTTCTCATAGACACAGAGAAACTTTGACTCTGTGGTTGAGGTAGCAAATACACCTTTGATTCAAGAGTGAACTTCATTAATTTGCAGTGGAGATACGTGCTACAATGAACTTTGTGATTTAACAAGGAAGCAGAGTTAAGAGAATCAGCAGCCCACAATCCGGTGTAAAATCTATCTTTCTTTTTAACATGTTTATGATGCTACCTCAAAGCCTATGATACGCTGCTGATTATGTTGTAACAATGATTGGAAGTTAGGTGAAAACCATTTGATTAAATCTTCCCTGTAAAGTAGGCTAACTCGTTTTCCAAACCCTGACATATTTGGATATATTCTGCATTTACATCTTTATTTGGGACTTTGAATGGGTTATTTGTTATAAACTGTACAGGTTTTCAGAAGGCTTGAGACTATTTATGCTCTCAGGTAAAAATATCCCCTCCTGTATATATGTATATATGCCTGCATGGCTTTGCAAGTGGGGGAAGAACTATAACCACTAGTACTTCTCTGCGTAGAAACCTCTTGGTATTACTTACTCAGTGGTGTTACCAAAATCTTGCTTGCAGGATGCAGGTCTCCAGTTCATCTTCAAGCAAAGCAGGCAACTAGGATTTTTATGTGCTGGTATTTATAGCACCACTTGCTTTGTGAAGTAGAGCCTGGTTGTGAGGGCTGAAGGGAGGTCCCCGCATCAGATAGTTTGTGGATTAAAGGCACAGTACGTGGTGATTCAATGTGAGCTTGTCTTAACTAAGAAACTGTCAACACTTTGTTTTACTTACCTTCTTTTTCGTCCAAGGTAGTACGTTGGGGTTTTTTTGCAATAAATTTGTTCATGCGTATTAATTAATGAATTCATGGGTTTTGAAGTGTACTGGGCTTTCTCCTAGACACGCTCCCTGCTTTCTCTGTACTGTGTTAAAAGGACACCTGCTTTTTCTGAGCTTTAAAGAGGATTAAGAAAGCTGATCTAAGTGAAAATCAGTGCATAACACTGAGAGAATGGACACCTAGCACTGGGGTCAAAGGAAACCAAAAAGCAATCCTTGTGATTTAAGCTCAAATCATTACAGTATCTAGGCATTTAATCCGAGTGGGAACCAGAGGGAATTTGGCCCTTAAACAGGTTCTGGGGATCTTGAGTGCCTTTGAGGACATCAGTCCCACTGCTGTGAATTCCCAAGCGCCTCCTGATTCACTGGGAACTGATCACTAGTTCTGTCAAACTCTGTTGGGGTTTATACATTAGGGGAAAGGGGTAGGAAATACGTAATACTGCAGCTCCTAGGCACACCAGTTTAAGGAAAATAGTCGTCCTGCAAGAGCTGTGTGTGGAGCAAGGAGCAAGCCACAATTCCAAACCCAAAATAAGAGGCAGCTGATGGCCATGAAGGTAATGAATGGGAATGCAGCATTGGCAAGACTCTGAGTTTTTTTGTAGTGCTGCTCTTGACTAAACTTGTTTTGTTCTAGTTGAAACTAGATTAAATTTCTGAGTGGAGGCTTGTGGCATTCAGATTTCTGAGTTAGGCCTGGGCAAAAATTAAAGCATCTTTTAATGTGGTAAGATCTAATAGTCACATAAATAAACAGCTGCAAGTACTTAGTGCCACTTATATAATTCATTGTATTTAATGTTTTTGTAACTCCAGATGCACAGAAAAAACAGGTTCCCTATAGACTGGGGGAAAAAAGTGAACAGACTGAATAAACAGTGTGTGACTGTTCTGCTTGGTGCTGACCTCAGGGCTCATTTGATATTATTAGGAATCCAGATAGTTTAAGGTCACTGGTTTCACTGTACACGGAAATTAAGGAAAAACCATGTCCCAGTGTCATGCTAATAGTGGAAATTAGAATTTAGGTAGAATTTATTTTTAAAGAACTTGAGAGTTTCTGATGGGGAGGGCATAGGTTTTGCTAGTGAGATAGTTCAAGTTTAGGGTAAAATGTCAGCATAGCCAATAAGGTACCACTGAAGGGATTCTGGCCTTTGACATGCCTTAAACTAGTGACATGGGTGACTTCACTGACCCTGACCAGTGTTTATGTATCTTCTGAAAACAGACTTAAGAAGCGTTTTTCCCCTTCTTCATATGGTAAACCATTTGGCATCATTTTTGGTTTTGTAGTGCCTAAAGCGGTAGTCAGCATATTACAGATGTTTACCAGCTGTACTCAGCTTCGTATCCTAAAGCATTTGCTCTGTAAGTGCAGTTTGTGCTGAGAAATGCTTGTTTTAAAAAGGCATAATCTGCTGATGGTAACAAACTTAGGGGCAGTTAAGGAAAAGGGGAAGATAGCGGAGATGGGTGTTAGCATGGTTCACTTCCATACAGCTTTGGAAGGTGGATTTACATTCCCAGAGAACTTTGCAGTGTTTCCTGCCAAGTATGTAGGAGTGAAACTAAAGTAGATCCTTTGCCTTACAGAAGGGGAAAAAAAAAAAAGGTGGCACTCAGTGTGTGCTCCTCTTGGTTTGTTTCTCAAGCCAGTGCGGCTTACCGGTTGTGTTCTCAGTGGAATATTCAAATCAGTTTTCAGGAAAAATTACCGTGTGGCTAAAGCGGCTGTTAACACCCAGCAAAAGACAAGCAGCAAGGGTAAAGGGTTCAGGAATAAGCCATCATCTGAAATTTATTTACAGACAGTGTTGGAAATATTCTTCAGAATAGCAACGGTTTGAGAAAAAAAATGGTTTGCCAGTGAGTCACAGATAATAGGAAAAGGATAAACTGAGTTTAATGTTTAGTGTCAAATCTATTACATGGAAGCTTGTCAGAAATATAAACATCGATCTATCTTAAGCTTAAAAAGCAGGTGGACTGCTTAAATCACTGCAGTGAAAACAACTGATATTGTCATTTAAGTAAGCAAAGAGAAAAATTATATAAAAATAATTAATTATTGTGATTATCTTTTTCCCTAAGGAGTAGTTGTATTGGTTATAAACTATTTCAGCGTGCTAGATTACACTAAGCATAGTCTCTAAACGGTAGAATTTTGTTAAGAGGCATGCTTTCTACAAATACCCGTGAAAGTCTATTCAAACATAAGCAGAGGGGAAAGTGTATATAGAGTAATCTTAATCTATGGGTTTTTATCCTAAACTGGGAAGACATGTTCTTCTTGTGATTTTTCTGATTGCAGAAGGAATTTGGAGTGTAATTATAAGGCATAAAACAAACCTTTGAAAGCTTTTCTAAACCTTGCTGTTTAACTTGGCAGTAAGAATTCTCTTCCAGCGTTGGGAAATGTGAGAAAATGCGTTCTTGTTTTTTAATCTAGCTGCCTTAATAAACAGAGGAAGTGTCGTTTCTGAGCAGAACTGATATTTCTTGTTTCCATCTCTTTCAAAACACTACAACTAGCAGACCTTTCCCTTTCTGATCCTGCGTTTGGTCACAGATTGGTGCACAGCCTTGGCACCGCAAAGGCTTTCCAGGGTTTTCAGCTACTGCATTCACAGATACTAATTTAATCATTCACTGAACCGACCGAGTTGGATAAACTGAAATAAGGGAAGTTTACCATTGCTCTTTCGGAAGTGGTGAACTTGAAGCAGGGTCAGTTGTTGTCAGAAACAGGGTCAGCACTTTGAGCCAGGTTGGCTGTGAATCTGGACGTGGATCACTTAGTGTCTTGCAGATTTACGGCTGGGAGTGAACTGCCCCGTGAAGATGTCTCCACTAATGGTAGCTCACAGCAGGCTGTTCGTGTATTAAGTGAAAAGCCAGTTTTATTAAGTGTTAGTGTTATGTAATTCAAATTAGTATTTGAATAACAATAAATTACACTATTTTTCCACCTTGAAATGGAGAAGAATGGAAATAGTGGGATATTTTTCTAGTTTAACTCTTCTGTAACTTAAATTGTTACAAATGAGGCTTTTTGGTAGCAAACTCTTAGTTTTCTACAGTATGTAGAAAAAAAAAGCACCAAATGGAGCAATTCAGAGAAAGCTCTCTGGGACAAATGTTACTGTCTGTGATTGTAGGGACCAGACTGGGTGACCCACATTTTCTTGATCAACCTTATGTTCCTATGAAACAGTTCAATAAGCAGCTGTTATTTCACTTTTAGAACTTCTCCTGTCTGCGGTAGGATCTCTTCGTTGTTCTCCAGTTTCACAGAGGAAAACGAAATCTGGCAAAGGGCATGAGGAGTGAGAGCTGTGGAAAAGCTGCAGTCAAAAGAGATACCCACAAAGGATGATGAGTAGAACCCCAGCAGAGGCAAATATATCCAAACCCTGCCGGCTGTGGCATCTGCCGTGAGAAAAGGATGCAGTGGATAGTTTGAAATGGCAAACAGAAAGACGTTATAAATAGAAATGCTAGAGGAAGAACTTCTAATTATTTCTCACCTCTTGTTTTCAGGGTATGGCCTTTACATTACATGAACGACAGATGCTTGGGCTGCAAGGACTTCTGCCTCCTAAAATAGAGACTCAAGACATTCAAGCCCTGCGCTTCCATAAGAATTTGGCAAAAATGACTGACCCCTTGGAAAAGTAAGCACCCATCTGACCTTGCTTTTGTCATGCAAGTAACTGGAAATTCCTGTAAAATACTTCATGAGGATAACCAAACAAGGTTTCTGTGCTTCCACTGGGTTTTTCAGGTGTTGGAGGTTATTTTCACTTTTGCATAGAAAACTGCTTTCCTCAGTCTTAGATTCATCATGGGGCTAAATGAGGTTGGGGGCTTTTTTCTTACATTCCACAGTCACAAGGTAGCGAAGAAGAATCTGCACCAATTAGCCAGTAACAAAGCTGCAAACCTTGCTGTAATATGTAAAACACATTTCTGTAATGCATAAGATTTGGGTGGCATGTTGTTAGAGCACAGAACTATCGGGGGGAGGAGTGGGAGCTAATGCATGCTAGAAAAATATGAGAGAAGGAAAGTAAATTGAGGGTTTGATAATTAGATATGAAAAACTGTTTATCATATGCAGTATTTACTGCCAGAAAGCAATTACAGGATTAGAATTCTGAGTCTTGTCATTTGTAATTTTTTTTCTTTTTTTTAAATTAACCTACTGGTTTGGTGAAAAAAGGTGAAGGACTTTTATTAGGGTTTTTTTTATAGCGTCATGTTTTTAGCATCTTGTTAATGTGTTCATGTATCTGCTTGTAAAAACACCCAGTCTCCTAAGGGCGAGAGGAGCACTGGCATGGTTTGAGGCTTACTCTGGACCACATCGAAACTCTTTTGTTCTCATAAAAACTGAAAGGTGGCTTTTCAATCCGCATCATGTTACTTGCTGCTCGAAACACTCTTGTCATCCGTATTGACGAAGTGCCCAGTTGCTGTAGCCTAAGACAAATCACGAACTGTGTCGTTGGGACAGCAAGAGTGAATATAAATTGATACATGGTAGATTGGTAGGTAAATTTGCAAAAATGCAAACTTGCAAAATTTGTAATTTGTGCTATTTAGAAATTTACAAAAATGTTCAATTTACAGACCTAGGTAAGTCCTTAAAAATGAACTTTTTTTTTAAAGAGTTAATTTGTTTTACAACTGTGTTAATGTTAGGATTAACAAGGGCTGACTGTCAGGCCCTTACTTTTTTTGGATTAAATTCCTTCACTGACAATTTTTTTTAACAGTAACAAGACTCCCAGCTGCATCCTGTAATAAATCCATGGGTTATCTTTTATCACAGTGCATGTTTGTGCATTAACTTGTTAGTGCGCATGGTATGTCATGTCTGGTATTTTTATTTCAGCTTTTCAGTACTGCTACTCTCTCTTTTTCAACTTTTGTTCAGTGCTCGGAGCCCTGCTTGAGTGGAACCAGCTATTTCACGAAGAAATGCCATGAAGCAAGTTTGGTTTTTGCTTTGACAGTTTTCCCATTGTTTTAAATAAGCATAAATACGAAAAAATTCATGGTGTTTGTTTGGTTTTTTTTCCCCCTTAATTTCAGGTATATCTACATAATGGGAATCCAAGAGAGAAATGAAAAATTGTTCTATAGGGTATTACAAGATGATATTGAGCGGCTAATGCCAATTGTATACACACCAACAGTAGGTCTTGCCTGCTCCCAGTATGGACACATCTTCCGGAGACCAAAGTAAGCATAACAAATAGATAACTGCTGCTGCTTTTATTACAGTTTTCTCCCTGATGTTTGGAAATGTTTTATTTCATTTTCATTTTTCATTCTACACGAGACTTGTGCCAGCTCAGGGCAGTAAGAGTTCATCAAACATCTCAAGACCCAGTTTATATTGGAAAACAGAAGGGGTAACGTGTCCTATAAATACCACAAGTGCAAAGCTTCAGCCCCATTTCCAGCTCCTCCCAGAGGCTGGACAGCTGTTTAATTCCGAGGAGGGTGCTGTGGCTTTTTCCAGCATTCAGGATGACATCTCTGAGTCTGAGGTTCTGTATCAGGACAGAGCATTCAGGGGAAAGTGTAGATGGAAAGGGATTTCCGGAGGTCATCCGGTCTCACCTGCTGTTCACGAGGGGTCACTTCAGGTAGTTTCATTAGACACATTCCCCTGTGCAGCTCTGCATGAAGCCTGCATGGGGCGGAAGCACGGGTGGGCGCACACCCGCAGAGCAGATGTGCCCGAGGCAGCTCAGGCTAACCGTGGCTCTGGCAGAACCAGAGCCATGACCAAAAAAAACAGAGATTGTCACGATGCTCTGCAGAGCGGCACACCACGACGCCTCGGGTGCAGGAGCAGAGGCCAGCGAGCAGTGTGGGAGGGGAGATGTTGGCAAAGCAGGAAGGGAGCCCGTTGGGTGCACGTAGTCCCTGTATTAAAGCTGTGCTACTGGGAGGCAATTGTCAGTTATTCTGACACAGTAAATATGCTTGGCTGGGATGTGGTTTGGGGTCAGCAG